AGAATCTCAGAGAAAACTCCTAAGTCCCCAGTCTTCAGGCTGTGAGCTACAGATCCCAGGAGTGTCTGCGGCCAACTAGTACGGGACCTTTTCCTTTTGGAAAGGTCATATCCTCTGCAGAAGTTTGGGTTAGTAAGTCTTACAGATGTAGACATCCCATGGAAAGCTCCTATGGATCACATAAGGCTGCAAAGCGCTGTAGTAGGCTGCTGTTGAGCAGCGAGTAGTGACTGAGGGAGGGCGAGCTGCAAGCAGGAGCACACAGGCATGTCTTGGTGTGAAGCTCTATCTACAGTTTGGGTAAGGTACTTGCCCAAAATGTTTAAGAACTGATTTTTACCTAGAGTGTGTCTGAGCCAGCTGCAGACTCTAACCACCATCACCTGAACTGCAGATGCGTGCATGGGGGGGATTTCAAAAGTACTTGGGGTTTGTCTGTAATCATAGGATCATGGAATGGTTTGGGTTCAGATCTTAAAGCTCAATCCGGTTCCAATCCCCCTGCCATGGGCAGGGACACCTTCCACTAGAGCAGGTTGCTCCAAGCCCCATCCAACCTGGCCTTGAACACTGCCAGGGATGGGGAAGCCACAGCTTCTTTGGGCACCCTGTGCCAGCGCCTCAGCACCCTCACAGGGAGGAATTCTTTCCCAATATCTAGCCAAAATCTATGTTCTTTCAGCTTAAACCCATTCCCCCTTGTAAAAAGCCCCTCTCCAGGTTTCCTGTAGCCCGTTTAGGCACTGGAGCTGCTTTAAGGTCTCCCTTTAAGAAGCCTTCTCTTCTCCAGGCTGAACCAGCCCAGCTGTCCCAGTGGGACAACTCCACTGTGTGTGTACACGTGCGTGCAGAGCAGCGTGTGCTGGTGTTCACCCAACAGCTCGTACTCATCTCCAGGAAACAACCTGCACTCGCTGGACTGCAGATGCAGTGTTTGGTAAGTGTTGTGCAGAAGCACCTGAGAATGCTTTCACACTGGGAACCCCAGCATTAGCCATGTGTGAGAACAAAAAGTGGCACTGGAAAACATTGCTAAACCTTTTCGAGTATGGTATTTGCTGGAAAGCAAAGTTCCAGAAAACTGGAGCCACTTATAAACTTGAGATAACTTTGGTGAATAGTTCTTGGCTGGCAGACAAAAAGGAAAATTTAAGTGTTCTGTGTAGATTGTTTCAGGATTAAACATCTTGAATTTCTGTTTCAAAACACTCTCCCTTCTGGCAATTCTCTCGCAACTTCTGGTCATATAAATCTGAGTTATTGAAGACACGACTTGAGGACTCCTGTCAGAACATTGTCTTCTTTAATTGGAGGGTTTGAAGCTCTTATTTAATAGAACATTTCTGAAGTTTCCTTTTGGAATGTAGCTTGAAACAAGTTCTTTTCTTCTCCAGCTTATTGTATAGCCGGCTGAACAGAAAGCACTTTGCACATAACCATGAGGAGGCGATGGGAAAACAGAGGAAATAACTCAAAGCCCTGGGTGTGATAAGTCACCCCCTTGACACAGCAGCCCTCCGAGACCAGACCCGGACCACATGTGCAGAAGCCCCTGTACCTTTCCGTACCTCGTAGTTGCAGCAAGGCACGTCTAATGTGAGCCACTGTAGATTTATAGAAGTCGTATGTACTGCATTAATTCATGAGTGGAAACTTCCCTTAGCTCCAGAGAAGAAACCTGAAAAGGGGGGGTTGAAGGAGGACCGCACCATGCTGCGACTACAGCGTGGTGGTCACTGGTGGGAGGCAGATGGTAGAAAGCAGCAAAACCCAAGCCACATTAATTTAACCAGTTCTGCACAGAAAACCACCCCTCTCTTGGCTCCACTGCAGACTTGGTGAAATCTTCCATCTGGTGAAAAATGAGGATGAGCTACCTCCCTTGCTACCCTCTGAGAAACACTTCAATACCCTCCAAGGAGAGGTAAGAGCAGCATCATTGTAAGTGGGAAATGAATTGCTCTCTTGCTGGATTTAACAGCTTCCTGTTTTGGGAATCTGAGATACCGTCTCACATTTCTGTTTGTTGTCAGGCTAGAAGAAGAGACTCCAAGGCTGCAAAGCCTCTGGTGAGGCAGTGGTTCATTTGCTAATTGTCTCTGCCAGACAATGCCATTTACACTGAGCACAAAATCACCTCTAACCTCCACTGACCAGAAAATCATTATATCCTTGAACTCCCATCCTTCAGAAACAGGACCCAGCATTGCAAACAGGGGCTGTGTGTGTCAGCTCCTCTGACAGGTCAACAAAACACAGGAGTGCTTATTCCTGATTAATGTACAAACACCCCCGTTCCCAGACCTAATTACGGTATCGTAAGCAACTCCATTACCAAAAAGCTGTCTGATTTGTCATACATAATGCAATGAATCTTGTGCTCCAAGGACCGCGCTGTCCTTTGGGAGGTGATGGGAACTGGGAGCAGGATTGGAGTCACTGTAAGCACACTGCGGAAGGGTCTGGGCCCCCTGCTCTCAGGGTGGGTTGGGGCTCTGATTGTGGCATAGGGCAGAAGCAGCATTAAGGTCCAGAGGGCTTTGGGGTCAGGTGGCTGGAGAGGGGCTGTTCTACGTTTACTGTTGCTGTCACAGATCGGGGTTTTTTTTATATGTTTCTGTCAAAGGCTGGTGAAGCTGGGATTTGCCTCTCTGAGACCTTTTCAGTAGAGAAAATGTCTCCTATTTTAGAGTTTTCACTGCTCATTTGGTTTTTTAGGACATGATACAATGCTTGCCATTATTGCTGTATAAATTTGAGATGCTCTGCCTGCCTCCTTCTCTTCCTCCATCAGCCAGATAATTACATCAGCTCTAAATGGGATCAGATGTGAAAATGGCATTCAGTTGGAATGACCTGTAAGGCTTCTGTCCTCCATAATTTAATACCTGCTTAACTTGGAACATGGAGGAAATCTTTGGATCTTGCTTTTCAGTTGGGGATGTTTTTGGCTGCGATATGCTGCTCTTCGTTTTGGAGACAACGCAGCAGAGGACACTGGCTTGACAGCCACAGCTCAATTAAATGCCACAGTGACTGGTAATGGCAACAGAATAAGCCAGTGATACGTAGGTCTAATTTCCCAACACCAGCCTTTAAAGGTTACGTGTGTATTCTTTCTTTGTTCCAAAGACTGGTTCAGGCACTTCTGACTGGGATGTGACACCTCTGGAGGGATGTGGTTAAAGACAGGCAGTGTCAGCAACGCTGCTTTGGTGACTCCACAGAAGCCTGACAGCCAGAGCCTGCGATGGAGGTGAGCACCTGGGCAGAACCAATGCTTCCCTTACTGTTTATGGGGTCGCTAAATATCAGTGAATCACATGAGGCAGGAATATACTGTATCTGTCTGAGTTGTTTTTACCCATTCTGCAGCACAAAAACAGAAGTGGAGGTATGAATAAATCATTTAAAAATATATAGAATATATATTATTAAAAATCATTAAATTATTCCTAATGGCCTTTCAAGAACATCATGTTAGGATTACCCACTGAAACATTACTTGGTTCTGTGCAAGGCAGGAAGTGATCCTGAATTGAGTGGAGTACCCTAATGATTGGGAGCTCCTCCCAGCAAAAAAGAGGGGTAAAAAGGCTTATTTTCTTCCCATTTAAATGGAAAGGGAATATTAAACCCCTGTGTGATGCAGAGAGGGTAGCAGGCAGTGTACCATTAGGATGGAAGCAAAGGTGAGTGGTCCCCCTCAGCGGGGACTGAGCAATGAAGTTCTTCAGTTTTCACTGGGATTCAGTGGTATTCCTCCACTTGGGCTCCTGCACAGAGGAGCAGTGGCAGCCTTCTTCCTCCCTCCTCCCCTCCCACAGAAACCCCACACTGCTGTTTCACTTCTCTGTATCATGGGAAAGGGGGGGGAAAGTCAGAGCTAGTGTTCCGTTTGCTTTAATTTCCAGTTTTTAAGGCTTTGTCCTTGCTCTGCTTGAGTTCTACTGAACACACTCGTACACTAGCCACAGCTAGGAAGGAATTCTCTCCAGAAGTCCTCTCCTTAATCTCGTTTGAGTATGGAACTAAGGGGCCGGCTTTGAAGCTTGCCCGAAAGATTGATGTGCAAGTGCAAAGAATGCTCTGGAAGCTCTTCAATGGAGACACTTCCAATTAACCACATGAGCACTGTCTGCAGCAGAAAGATGATTTAATGGCGTTGTGGCCACAAGAAGGTGAGTCCCTAAACTTGACGGCATAGTATTTGCATATTACCTCCATGTTAGAGTTTCTCACACTACCTTTGTTTATTTTTACTGGAAGAAGCACAAGAAAAGCACGATGCTCGCTTCAATCACCACAAATCCAAACATTTGAAGCTACATCACTCCTCTTTCCTGGCTCTGTTCCTCTCTGAAAGCACGCCGCTTGCATGCTTACTCTCCTTTTTCCCATGAACTACAGGGTGTAGGCCAAAATACCCTTTGCAACTGGTAACTTGCTAGGCACACTAGGTTCCAGTTAATACAGCAAATGGTCATTTCATAATGCTTGAAGTATCTGTGGCATGAATATATTAAAAGCCCTGAAATTGGCAGGAAATATGAGGAGCATTTCTTGTTTTCCACAGGGTCAATTTTATTCATCTGCTGGAAACTCCTTACAATGACAAAAAGAAGTTACATGGAAAACGGATTCCAACTGGATTAACAGTATTCAAGTGGCAGGTAGGAAACACTTGGATGTGCAATGGTGAGCACTTCTCTGTGTACCAGCTTGCAGAGGTTCTGGCCTGTATCATCACAGGCTGCATCACTGTGGTGTCATGTCCCTATCAGTGGTTTTAGCTTCAGACTGGCGTGCATTTCTGTGGGGAAACTATAAGGGTGGTGAGGCACTGGAATGGGTTGCTCAGGGAAGTTGTGAATGCTCCATCCCAAGCATTCAAGGCCAGGTTGGACAGAGCCTTGGGTGACATGGTTTAGTGTGAGGTGTCCCTGCCCATGGCAGGGGGGTTGGAACTGGGTGATCTTAAGGTCCTTTCCAACCCTAACTATTCTATGATTCTATGAAATGAGCTGGACCTTTTAGCATCCAGTGCCTTGGGAACCTGCCTTGGTTTGCTGGAGCTGAAGGCGTAAGCCAGGTCATGGAAGGCAAAGTTGGAGGAACCATCATCCTGGCAGCTGCTGGGTCAGTGATTCTTCCTCCTGCCAACATCACCAAACCAATGGGTGTTTCAGCTTCTCACTTCTAACAGAACAGCTCTCTAGCTGGCCATACACTGATAACCTTTAGCACTGAACCACAGCTTCACAGCAGGGAGACCATCACCCGGAGTCAGGCCTAGGAACAGGCAGGGGCTGGTTAAGCCAGCTCGAGTGAGGGGATGCTGGTGGGTACCCAGACGGGCACTGCAGTTGTCCCTTTGGGCATAAAGCAGCTCTCCTTAGCCACACAGAGAAGCATCATCTCAGCTGCACATGCTCCTTGCACAACTGTCAAATATGCCTGTAATACAATTCGGTCAGAGGCAGTTACCGCTGCAGCGCGGTGGCTCTGGCAAGCCTTGCTCTCCTAGGCTGAACTGTAACTATCAAATCTCTGTTGGTCTGGCTGAAAAAAGATCATAGCAGTGGTGTCTTTTCACTAAAAAGAGCCGTTTCCCACTCTACTGTCATTAAAGTGAAATATAAACTAGCCAAAGTCTGTCTTCACCAAAACTCTCCAAAAATGGAACATTTTTGGGGGATAAAATAACTGTAATTCTAACTGCAGCAGTCAGTGCTGTGCCTACTTTGGTACCCAGCCAGTGAATTTTAAAGTAAACACCCTCCAGGACTGTTCTCCATTTGGATTTATTAGTCATTACCAAGAAAAGATAATTAGCACTTCTGAAGCATTGTGATATTCAGTAGCATGAACTGTTTCCCATAGAAACGGACCGGGGTACTTGTGCAGTGCAGAATATGGCAGCTCCGTTGGACTCCCTGTACAGAACGAGTACACTGGTGGGCAGATCCTCAGCTGGAGGAAATGCTCACACTACCAACAGCTCCAGTGGAGCTAATGACAGTTTATATAGGGTAAGGCAGGGAGAGGAGTTGCTCCCTGGCCTCGTAGGCTTCTCTTTCTGTACCCTGGAGGCAGAGCCATTTTGGTTACAATAGACAAACCTTCTTGTTGGTCAAAGGCAACAGCAAACACTACTCCTCTACTGCACCACAGGAGAATAGAAAGTAATTACTTTTCTTTCGTGTGCACAAAAAAGAAAATAGCCTTTCAGTGGAACAAGAGGATCCTGGGTGTAAACCAGCATCCTTAAGGCAACGATGCCTTTTTTTCTCTTTCTAAACTGAGAAAACTGTTGGACTCAAGTCAGTGCTAAAACTTGCAGAACTGGTTTTTCACTTATTGTTCCCCTCGCTTCCATTACTTACAATCATTGGTAATAATCATATGAGCGATAGGATGTAAATCTTGCGTTCTAAGTCTCAAACCCTGAGCGTTAAGCATGCCAGGCTCCCTGCTATACAAAGAAGTATTACCCACTGAGTTCAAGGAAGTAGGTCTTTAGATTTATTAGTGTTCCTGTTTAAACAAATACTACAATGCATAGGCTTGTCCCAAGTAGTTGTCCTTGTTTTTCTGTAAGTATGACCAAAATCCGTGCCAAATAACAGAGGTAGCATGTAAGCTTGGGAAAGCCTCTGTTTTGGGGAGCACTAATAACAAATGTAGCTAGAGGATTTGCCCTGAAACACATGCAAGTCTGCAACAACCACTCTCTTGCACTGTACAGAGCAGTTTAGGCCAGTGTAAAACCTCTCCAGCCAAGAGGTACTTTGTATCCTCTGGGAAGCACACAGCAAATCTTGGGGTTGAGTACAGTATGGATCCAAAATACTTTGTCTGCAAGTGATGCAGGGGCTGTGATGTGCTGTGCCGGTAAAAGGGTACCTTACCCATGTTATTCCTATTGATGCTGATGGCATTTACTCGTGTGAGTCTTCCTTGCCACGCCTGAGGCAGAGGCTCTTAGGATTGCAATTCCAAAGCCAGTAATGCCTGTTAATACACACAAAAACCACGGGACCACCCTGCCAACATCCAACAGGCTGATGCACTCAAAGTATTTGTGCATGTCTGTGCCTCTCCTAGCAGGATGACTGCTGTGGCAAGTCCGATTATCACCAAGGTGAAGCGATGGCAACAAATGTGATGGGCTGCTGGTTGTTTACCAGCTACACTTGCAGAAGTAAATGGGTCTGTGAGTGTTTGCTTTTCAGCTGCTGCTGGGAAACAGCACCCTCCTGCCAGGTCACAGGCCAGCTACGTTACAGACCTCGCAACGCGGTTCCTTGGTTGCAGAGGTGGATGCATAGCTGGTACTCAAATAGCTCTCCGGATGCATAGCTTGTACTCAAATAGCTGCCCAGTACACAGAAGTTGCTATGGCAGTGCTTTACAGGCGTAAGTTGCACAAAAAGGTGGTGATGTGAGACCACACTGACTCTCCCACCCTGGGAACCACAACAAATATCGGAATATAATATCTATATATTTATATGTATGTATCTACTTAAGTAATTGTCAGATTGCATCTCACTGTGAGCTGGGTTTAAAACACCTGGGTAACAATTTTCAAACTATGCCAACAAACAACATCTCTCCTTCCCTCTCCTTCCCACCTGCAGTGCAGAGCAAGCTGACCTCATAGCATCCTCCACAGTAAAATGAGTCTCTGCTGCATCTTTCTGTCTTCATGAAACTCATTTAATTCTGGTACTTTAACACCTACTTCTTTCTCTGCTGCTGGTGCTGCTGCAAAGGAGAAATGTGGCCAGTAACACTGTCTCCTTGGAAACCTGCCTCTGGCCTAAAAAGCCTGATATGGTGCCTATGTGACACTGGAAAACCAGAGCCTCTGAAAGGGCTGAGCACATTTTACAGCACTGGTGCTTTCACTCCAGACCCTGCAGCAGACAAATAAGCTGGGCTATCACAATGCTAAAACTTGCAGAGGGAGTTTAGTTGGGAAAATTCAATGGGAAAAATGCGAGATATTGGCCATGGAGTGCAAGAGGCTGCTGGGAGCACCCTGCGGGCAGGAGCTCTGCGATGGTGTGGGCTGGGAGCAGCACGAGGCACCCACCTCTCCATTAGCCCGCAGATTTCCATGTAATTGTAAACAACGCTGAGTTCAAGCCTGCTGCCAGAGCCTTGGGCTCTTTAAGAAATAACCCCATCTCGTTTATTGCCTGAGGATATTCTTATCTCCGGAATGAACTAGTTGCGGATCACAATACTGGGCAGAGTTGTAGTACAAAGTGTGTTCTAGTGCAAACCTACTTATGAAGTAGTCACAAATCTTCTTTGGACAGAAACGGGCACAGAGCCCCAACCTTTTGTGTCGAAAAGTGCCTGCGGCTCCTTTCTGCACCATCTTCATCTTGGGACTGGTCTGGCTCTCATGTGCCATGGCATATAGAGCTCTGGTGGGGCACAGCTAAGGAGAAGCTTAGCAGGGGGTATGCCAGCTGCAGCCCCTGGCTGTGCCAGCATGGGGAGGCTGTGTGGATTAGGGTTATCCACTCCTGCATCTGATACGACAGGCAAAATAATGCTGCCCTGCTGAAGGCTCAGCTCCTTACCTCCGATGTGAGATTTCTACAGACAATCCAAAGATTTGGTTTTAAGAAACAAGTAATTCATACATACACACACTGCCTTCAGTATAACATCCCTTAAAAGACTGCTGCCGTCTTTTGTACCATGAAAAGATGAATATGAACATGTTTTGTGCCAGGAATGGTAATGCAGTAGAGCACAGAGTTCAGTCACAATACACTGGTAATCACTATATGCCTCACTCAAAGTGATGCAATAGGTGATTAATCAGCACAAAGCTCAGAATTCATAACTAGCTATTTCACGTAAGGCCTTTCAATAAATATGCAAGTGGAGATACATATAGCTTTTTAATATAGTTCAAGTGTGAACTGATTTGGTCTTTGGTCTTTCTGCTTTTGTGAATCATACTGCAATAGCAGCTTTTGAGAAAGAAAAAGTATTTTTAATTTAAATTGGTCTAGGCAAGAGCCACACTAAATATAGTGAGCATATGCAGCACATAAAACCAAGGCAGGAGAAAGGATTATCAGAATAACTGGAATAGTTTTGTAAGCGGCATATACTGTAGGTCTGTATGGTTTAATTGTCGTTCCTATCCCTGTCAGAGCTGTGTGGAGGCAGCCACATGTTTAAGCACAACTTGGTCAAGTCAGTTGGTGCGTTTACTCCTGTTTAGAGCTGGTCTGGGCTTGAATTAAAGCCTGAGGGGCATGGGGGGGGCTTGGTGTTTATAATGAAAATTGAAAGGTGCAAGTGCTTTGGACAGCTGTACCCTAGCATGAGCTTTCTACAGTCACCTTGAACCAACACTCTGAAATAAGCCTCGCTATTAACTTGAACAGGAGATTAGCCAGGCACCTGTGAAGAGCAAGGCAGTCTGCTTGTGCCTGTTGCAAATTCTTCTGCAGTTAGGCTTGTCTCAGCTAAGCGGGAAGACCTGAGCCCCAGCCTGGAATTGGTTCTCCCGCTTCCAGGTTACAATGGCACTTTTCTGTTGGGCTTTTTCTTTGTTTATTTGTTTGGTTTTGGTGTCTGTCCGTGACTGAAGGTGCTCAGTTGCTGAGCAAAGCTTCAGAGCTCCCTGGGTATGACAGTGAAGGGGATGACAGGACTGCTGGATTCGAGGTCCAGGGCGGTGAGGAAGCATTCGATGGCTGCTTCGTTCTTGCCCTGAGCTTGCAAGACCTCTCCAAGGCTGTTCCAGGCCCGGTGACTGGTGGTCTGGATCCGGATGGCATCTCTGAGGACCTTCTGGGCCAGGTCCCTCCGCTCAAGTCTGCTCAGCACCAGGCCCTGTCAATAAACAAGTGATGAGCAGTTAAAGACACAAAACAGGAGAATGGAGTGCCCCAAGTCCTACCAAGCTGGGCTATGTATGAGTGCAGGCACAGAAGTCCTATGATGAGGGATCTCCACCTATTTCTGTAGAAGAGGAGCAATCAGCTGGTAAGTTCAGGTTGTTTTTTTAATTGCAAAGTGTAATTTAAAAAGCAATCATGAATTAGTTCTTTTCTTTAAACACAGAGACTGATCCAGCTCAGAAGTTCTCCTGCTGCGTGTTACTGTGGCAGCATATACTGGTGCTACACAGAGAAAAGGCTACAGGCCCTTGAAGCATCCCTCTCTCCTTGAGTGGCTTACACTGGATTCGAATCCCCAAGGAAAATATACACAGGTTCAGTTACACCCAGCATCTAAATTAACTCTTGCACATCTGGAATATCCAGCTGAGGTCAAGTCTGTCAGCTCCTACATCCTGACCACACAGACAGATCTTTCTCCTTAACAAATGGGGCTAGAGGGATGCAGCTCCCTTCTACGCTTCTAGGGGCAGGCTGTATGAAACAGCATGGGGCCCTCTGTCCTCCTGCACTCCAATGTAGATCCTAAAGCAGTGTGGGGGAGCAGAAGGATGGAGGAACCTTGTTTAAAAAGCTGTCCTTAGGGTAAGAAAAGACACGAGTGGGTGTAACCATCTGGAAGGAACAGGAGGAGGAGGATGAAAGAAGTGGTAGGAAGAACATGTTTTCCTATAGGGCTCGCATGGATGTGTCTGAACCCACAGTGCATCTAATGAGCCAGGCTCCCTTTTAATTATACAGCAGCCAACCACACTGAGCCCAGATGGTCATGTGGGCTTCGCAGGCCACAGTGCACCAGTGGCATTTTCCTGCTTCCTCCTGAAGGTGCGCACACCGGGATGAACCTCCCACCGCTTCCATGCAGTGTGGCCTATGGAAGAAGCAGCCAACGCGTTCTCGTCGCCTGCCAAGAGCTGCATGGCCTCTGCCTGTGCTCACCCGTGGAAACGGTGGAAAGCGAGATGACTGCCTGGCTTCGTGCTTTTCCTGGCACTACATGGTATGTGGATGCATATATATATATATATATATATATATATAAAGTTTCACCTTTAATGTGTCTACTTGCCCTTAGTTGATATAAAAAGCCATAAGAAACCTGAAATCTCTCGCAATGAGAACCCAAATGAATTTCTGACCAAAGAAAGGTGATGCTTTCGGAAGTAGTAAAGATTTTTCCTTCGTTTTGTTTTTCCAAACATGCCATTAGATGCAGGGTGCATCAGCATGACTAAGACCCTATCATGACATGACTAGCCAGTTATAGTACTCACACCTACAGAAACACATTACTTTGCCTGAGAGAAACAATGAGAAATGTCAATTTAATGAAGTATCAGCAGTACTGTGAACAGTTTCATTGCCTTTTTCTTGCCTGTAACCTTGACCTGAATAATCAACTGGTATGAAATCTGATCATTTAGAGGTGCAGTGGGGATGTGTTTTCTTTAGGCTTCTCTTTCCTGCTGGAGAATGGTGAGACAACGATCTCACTGTCCCCCTGTGAGCAGGCAGAGGTGGCACAGAGGTACCCCGATGGGACAGGCTGGTTCCTCTGGAAGCAGCTGCAGGCACATCCCTACAAACTGTGAGGACTTTGTGCAATTATAACCTGAGTCACCCTCCTGACAGGGATAATGAGGCCCACAGAGGGCAAGCAGTGGCCATAGCAGCTCTGCTGCTGAGCCAAGAACAGACGGGCGCTATCTCAGCTCAAGTTAGTCCCCAACCACAAAACCACCCTTCCTGTTGCGCTGACCGGGCAGAGCCGATCGTGCTCTCTGGTGGCCGGGGACCCACCGCAGTCCTCATCCTGACGCTAAGCAGCATCAAGCCTCTCGATGCTCCAGAGGGCTGCCGGCCCATGGAGCCTCTGCAGCTGCTGCCTGTCATCCCGCTCCAAAGAGGAGGGGAATTCCCTCCCCGGCTGACATCTCGCGCCTCCCAACAATGCTGCAGTGAAATCCACCTCATCCTAAACCGCTCGTGCAGCACAGCTCCCTTGTCTGCCCCAGCACCCTTGCTGGGCAAGGACCACAGTCTGGCGTGGCTTCCCCACCGTGGAGCTGCTCCATTTATTGTGCCTGAGGTCCTTTGCAGCCCTGTGAGGAGGCTGTACACACACCCAGGTACTGTGTTCACCTGGGGAGGTGCTGAAGCTGATTCCCACCAGGAAGAACACTCGCTCCTTGGTATTCAGTGCTTCCAAGCATCCTGGTTTAGCTGCAAAAAAAAATCTCAGAAAGGGCAATCTGAGGATCCCCACAGCTTCCTGTTGATGCTGCAATATCCTATATGAGTGAAAAACTACATTTATGGAAAGAAATACAGGAGGAGATACTTGCTAAAGGAGGCAAAGGTTTCCTGCCTTCCTGCTTACATGCACCACTGCTACTGCCAAAGGCTGCCTGGGTCCATAGCCCTTCCCAGGGGTGCTCACCATCCTGCTTCCCTCTTCTGACCAGGAACAGCCGTGTGTCTCCTTGCCCACATGCCTGGATTTCCATGTGCTGTGGGCAGAAGACCCTGGTCCTCAGGCCTCAGCCCAAGTGGAAGTTGGGGTGTTGCCAACCTGGTCTCCAACCCAGACCCTGCCAACGCTCCCGAACCCCAGCACGGAGACCTACTGCTTTGCCCAGAGCGAGCGGTGACAGATGGTGTCCGCCTTCCCAGGGAGGCTTAACTGAACCGGCAGCAATACGCTGCTGTGTGTTTAAGGGGCAGGTTGAACATCATCAACTCTGCGTGCAGGAAAGCTTCTTGCTTTGGGTTTCCTCTCCCCGCTCCTCCCCACCCTGCTCCTTGCAAACCACAAGCGTCTTCTGAGAGCTGGAGGCTGCACGGTCCCCAAGCCTCACCAAGATGCAGCACTGAGCACTTCAGCTTTTTGCTTCCCTGAGGTATTTGCACTTGAGAGCTTCTCCTTGCTACTGAATTTCTTATTTCCCCATGGAGTCTGCCTCGCTATAAACAATGCCTGCATGTTGTTGCTATGTAGGTCCAGCTGGAATCTGCCTACAGTGCAAAGGAAAAACATTATATATAAATTCAGAAAGCCACCCACTGACAGGCAATTTGCATTTTAATCTGGAAGACTTTTATTTTATCTTAAAGATTTTTTTCTAATGAAAGTTCAGTTCCTGAGTTTCTATGGAAACTCATCTGCTTGGTGTGCATGCATCATTTCACCAAGTCAGATCTCAGGAAGATAAGCAATTAGTATAAATGCAAGCAGGAATGTGATTAAGGGTTTCATCCTCTTATTCCTGAAGATGGAGGGTTGGGCTGGGTTTTGCTGCCTTTCCTTGGTTCCTATTTGTGTTTTTGCCAAACTAATGCAGACACCCGTATACGAGGTAGCCTGGCTCCTCTGCCACCTCCTGGCTAGCACTGGCACTTCTGGTTTTGCCTGCTTATTTTCCTCCCAAAGATGATGAGTACCCCTAAGTAAGGTCTCTGTCAGTGTTGGTACTGAGTCAGGTAAAGAGCAATGAGG